CCATCTTGGGCCCTAGGGGATGGGGGCACATTACCAAGCAGGTCATATTCTCCAGCACAGACTATTAAAGGTGTCATTCGCATGGGAAAGTTTTGCATCTACTGTCAGTTGTGGGAAATGATGTGAGATGTATCCTTTCATAATTATCTTTTCTTTGTTTTGTAAATGTAGTAGGCATGTCATAAAATATATTAAACAATTCCAAAAGACAGGTCACGCACTGAAATGTTCAGAAACAAAGGAGTTGCAATATAAAGAACCACGTAGGTACCCTTGCAGTGATGAATGCACCTTAGCTGTAATAGATTAGCAGCTTTTTGAAGGAGAGTTGGACTTTATGCTGAGGAATAAAGAAATAGTCAAATGAATGATAGTCAACTCAGAAGACAGAAAAAAGTATCAAACAGTGACAAGGGAACAAGAAAGAAGGAAACTGAAGAGATGTGAAATGCCTTTCATCAGTAAATTACAGACTGAGAGTAAGAAAAAAAAATACAGATTGGAAGTAAGAAAAAAAAAAAAAAACAATACCATCTGGCTAGTTCTTTCATGCCTTCCTGCATGTCCAGGGTCTGTATTCTCACATGCAGATCACCCAAAACACTTTTAGAAGAGAAGCAAGCTACTCAATAGGGTGCACCGCTGTAGCTGCTAGTAGATCAGATTTGAGATATACAGTTAGGACCACATAGAGAAGCTGTATATGACCTGCAGACTCCCCTGTTACACTTGCTGTGTTTGATGTTGGTATGGCGGCGGGGAAGGGGTACTGCAGTATTTTAGCATAGATAGTATGAATTATACAAATTGTATTCCTCCCTACGTAGTATCCTATTACGGAAATCCTAGCCAAAACAGGAGTGAAATTTATCTCAGAAGAGACAGCAGTCCAGGGGCTAGGGCATGTGTTGGGTTCAAAAGGAAAAAACACTCAAGATTCCGATCAAACTTGTAAGAGCGTTTCTGTCTTGTTTTTTTAGGAGAAACTCAGGAAGACCTTGGCATCATCCAGACATAAAATAGGGAACATTCTGAAGTCTTAAAAAAGTTCAACAAGACAAGAAAAACAATTTTGCACTCAGTTCTTCTTCTGCTAATAGCATGATGTGGATGAAAATTAAACTACCTTAGAAATTAAGATAAAGCAGTCAAATAGTGTTTTAGCTCTGACAAGACATTTCTGTATGCTTTATTTTATACTTCTCACGCAAGTGGAAAGAAAGATATTTTCTTCGTGGAGTAGCTCTACTGAACACGAACCAGATATATCCATTTTTACGTCTTGCGTTACGGTGTGAGGACATGAAATCTTGAAGATTTCTGTTTATTCTGATGTAAACTTCAACCCTATTCTCCAAATCCCCACACTCCCATTTACATTCACAACTTCTTTTAAGAGTGGTCTTTAAGGTACAAAGACACTGGACAAGCTAGAATGCTTATTTTACATTATCCATATGCTACTAATAATATCCAAACAATAATAATAACAATAATAATATAATAATATACAAATAATATTTAACTGAAAACAATGTTTCACAGTTACTTGTCCTTATAAGCGTAAAACAAGTTTCATGACATAACACACATCATAGAATAAAAAAAATCTACATAACAGATGCAAGAAAAGCATCTCATGAGCCAAAAAAATTACTTTAATAAAACTCAAGAAACCACAGTTCATAATTTAATAAATGTTCTGATATAAAAACTATTTTTAAAATAATTCACAAACTATTTGACCTGCTAAACTATATGCTTCTAGAAAAAAGAAAGATTTACTATGAAAAAAGTACTTTTATAGTAGGAACAGTAAAGCTATAATGTGTTCAGTACCAAAAAGGTGGTTCATATTGTGCAGTATTGCATAATGCTGGAGCTGAAACATATAATGCTTAAAGTTCGAATTATGGAGTCTGAGTAGTAGAGTAAATCAAATTAAATTAACAGGACACTAAGCTGAGACCAAAGCTGATACCTCCTATACTTTGAAGATTAACACTTTTATTCACACCATTCTTCTTACTTCTTCTTAAAACGTAATTGGTCCTTTATGCCAAAGTAACTGTGTGTGATGCTCAGTAAAGTAACTGCGTTATTTAAATTACGTGTATAAAATAGCTTTTCCACACTGCTTTTCTGATTCATGCCCATAATTAAATATAAAACAAAATGCAAATCTTTCTCTTCTTAGAAACTGCATCTCAAAACAAAACAAAACAAAAAACCCCAACAATCAGCCATTATCATTAGAAAACAAAGAACTTGCTTCCAGGTACGCCCATTCTTCTCCAGAAGGGGCCTTCAACGGATCTTCAATGGCCAATATACTGTGTCCTTGTTCACACTACAAAGTTTTGCTAGCAAAAGTTGCTTTTGTCAGCCTATTCTTTCACGTGTCCTTGTGTAAACATGAGTTTGGCTGGTAAACCCCTCCGTTGTTACTACTGTAAATTATTGTTGTGAGTAGGCACTCTTCTATTGGCAAAAGCAGGAGGACGCTCTCTTACTTCTAGTGATAAAAATAAGTATTCTTCCTCACTCTCCCTCTGTATATGTAGAAAAGCACAGTTCTGTGCAAGGACAGA